CTGAAGAGTGCGAGCTTCGGAGCCTTAAAGCCTATATCCCCCCCGCCAATTGAGAAGGCCTGTGCAGAAACGGGTGGGCGATTACATTGTGGAACACCTCTATCAGTCTGAGGTTGCTGAGGGACCACTGGCTCGTCGGTATCCGTGGGAACTCTTGGCTCCTGACGAGACGAGGAAGCTCCTTGAGGGTGTCTATTGCTGCTCCTTGTGAGAGGGCCACTATGCTGGAGTTGCTGCTCAGATGTAGTGGGATGACGAACCGTAGTCGTTCTTGAGGGGCTATTCGGAATTAGCTGCGGCGGGGGCGACTGGGTCTCGTCGCCATGCACAAAGCTAGCAGTTAACCGCGCGTTAATGTTAGCCGCGGTGTCCAAAGCATTCCTCGGGGACACTTGGGGGCCACGATGGGTCTGGGCACCATGTGGAGGTTGCTGATCTCTCGAACTCGACATGCTGGGAGAGCAAGGGAATCGGCCGTGTCAGCCGCAGATCAATAATCGATAATCGGTACATTAGCTATTGTGCGCACACGCCACGCACAACGACCACTACAAGCAACGAGACTATAGCTCGGTGAACAGCTCCCGCAACTCGAGGAAAACAATATGGCGAGTTACGGTGACCAAAGGCTAGGCGTAGGTGTCTGAAAATCGTGTTTCCACACCGGATATTGAGATTAGAAGCCGCTTTCGGGCTGATACCTACGACTCTGAATGCATTTTTCACATCAAGAGCGAAGGCTTACAAGGGTTTCCGTTGTTCATGAGCCTTTTTAAAGAGTGTTCGGATGAGGGATTGGATATCTGAGTACTTTGGTTGGCACAACGTCTGCGAAAATTTGGAGGCCTTTTGATTTATATGGCTCCTTTTATAGTCTTCGATTACCCGGAAGTGCTTCGCCTTTTGACGAACCTTTTTCGTTGGGCAACTGCCCTTGGGAATCAAAGCTACAGGCGTAACGACACCTTGGAATTGCCTTGCTGCACCAACAACAGTCATACGCCCCAAATTCACCTCTTCCTGAAGAATTTCTTACAAGAATTGGTGGTTTTCAACAGCTGAGACGTGATTTTCAAGTAGTAACTCCACCTCTCTAGCGCGCCGGGGTTTTGCCTCGGGCCAATGACGAGATAAAGGAATGGAGTCACACTGCCCTTCATTGATCTGTTGGAAGAGGATCTCAGATTCCTCACGGAATTCTTCGCCACACAGTGATGAGAGGTAAGCGATAATAGATGGTCTCAGGGGAGACCCCACTTCAGAAGTGCTTGATTGGCCCTCCAAAATAGAGCAAACAGGATTTGGCCCGCCTTGCGTGGCACATTCAACGATTTTATTGGATTGATTTTCCCCCTGCCGATTTGGCTTTAGGGCGCGAATCTAGTTTTCTGACTCCGACCTGCGAGGTTCAGAAGGACGGCTCTTCGCATCAGCGTCAAAGAGGGAGCGACCTTTCTTTGTTTCTCTCCGCAAGACATGTTTATAGGGACATTTTTCCCCCCTGTTGCAAGATCCAGTTTGGTAGGAGATACACGCACCACCTTCGAAGAGTTTTCTCTTCGAGTCTTTCTTCGTCTTTTTATTCTCGTCGTTACCGAAGACTTGACCAGTATCCGCCAAACCACCAAACTGAGCAGAAATGTACATGGGTCTAAATCCTTCTCAGAACGTCAGCAATCGAGTGATCTTGTTGGTGGTATCCTATTAAGGAACCACGGTATTTATGGTCATAGATCGCAGCTGCTTGAACAATTCTATCCTCAGCGAGCTGAATGACCTTCAGTAAGTATTTGAGCATGGCAAGAGAGTTTACCCCCGACTTTTTGCCACACACCATAAAGATTCCGATACACCAGCGAATGTAACATTCAACCCACTGAGCAAGCGACGTTATTTCACGAGATTTACCTGTGCGCACGGAGACGGCCAGTATTAACATCTTCAGCCTGCTGAATACCTCATCTTTCAGTTGATGCAGCGCTGGCTAAGAACTCGGGGGCTGCAATGTGATAAAAGGGATAGCTCGATAGACGGCTGAGCAAGCGGTAGGAGGCACCAACGTGGCAAGAACCTTCACGTCTGGACCAAATCGATCCTGGATGTCGAAATCCTTGAATTTGTCGAAATCCTCCTTTTCTTGCTCAGACTCCACCCTACGGGGCTTTGCGCCCTGGGCAGCTTTGGCCTGATCTATAAGGGTCAGAGCATAGAGCCTGGAGACTTCCTCGTCGGCTTCGGCAACACGCTCAGTCATCCTCTTAACAACTTCATCAGAGACGTTGGACAAGAGCAAAGTACAAAGTATCTTTTCTTCGACGAGCTGCTTCACCAACATCTCTTAGATACCATCATCAAGTAGAGGGTCAACAACATTGCGCCTAACAACAATTTTGCGGTCTACCATGGAATGAAAAACAAACAATATGTTGCTGTTTCTACAACATCTGCTTCAGTCTAGCCTTATTGAGCCACTATTTAGCTAAGCTCGCAAGATGCGAGTCGCAGCACAATATTTGTCCCTTACCGGTCTGGGTGGGAGTTCGCTATGAAGTTCACGAAGACAGTCACCTTGTGACCAACACTTGCGGTGAAGTTAAACGTCGCCAGTGATCGGTTTCACCTTCGTTAACGAGTTAACTCGAAGGAAGTCAGTTCTGTCGCCATCCGGGATTCTCGTCACTATTATTGATGAACGCTATGCGACATGAAGTCCTGCCAAGTACTCCTGTTGGAGGATTCTATGAAGTGAATCACAAAGTACTAGGACGCTGTCAACGCT